AGAAGCCTAACGTTGACGATGGACAAACACCTGGTTTCTGCAATGTATAGTTTGTTTTTTTAACTATTGTCCTTTGTATTTTTGAATTAAAACTTACAATTAACTTGGTATTAACTTTAAATAATATAAATGGGAACTTCTAATGTAATTTAATTTTAAAAAGTGAATTATTTATTTAATCACTGAGCAGTACTTGTATCGACTAATATTACTTTTTAAACAATAAATTACCCATTTTCAACCTACATTCTTTAGGAATCAGAAATAAAGGTTATCATTTAAGTTGAACATTTTAACAATTTTATTTATAAATTAGTACTGGGTAAAAAACACGCTTAAAACTACATATATATATAGTTTTAAAATCGTGATATTTTTTTAAAAAAAAATTTTATAATTGTATCAAATTTTAAAACTTTTTTTAGCCAATAATAATTTACCATTAATCAATTAATCAACTATCCAATTTTATTGTATATTCATGCAATTGATTTCGAGAAAATTTTTCAGTATTAACGATGAGTTTAGCAAAAAGTGAAATTTACAAAATAGGACATATATTTTGTTGTTGTTTAGGTTATAAGTACTTGTACACACAAATAAAGGCGTGGTTTGTTTTATTCGTGTCAATAAAGTCATCGAGGTCAAAGCGAAAGTTTTCCAAGACGAATTCGAGATGAAGTACCTAATAAAGTACTGGTTGTAACTGTACGTTAACTGATGTCGCGCAAGGGTAGTAAGGGTGGTGCGACAAAAGAAAGCCAATTAAGTATTTATAAAATTAACTATGTAATAAACGGCAGTATATAAATTGTACAATCATGTTTTGTTGTTTAAATTATTGTGTCACGTAATAATATACGTATATGTTTTATGAAATTGCAGTATTCCTAGAATTCACATAGTTAAGAAAAAACCATTATTCGCTTTCGACTTCCTGTCTTCAAAAAAAGGTTCGACGATTTTGTTTCGACTGTATAATAGTAACAGTGACAAAACAAGATAATCGAGTAGGTAATCGAACATCAATGAAAATAAATAAAAAAACTTTTTTCTGTCTATTATTATAGTTTCACTGATGATGACAAGATCGTTTTACCAGTTAGTCCAAATATTGAACAAAATCAGTTTAGTCAGTACCCACATTTTATTTACAGAACCTAAAGAGGAAGAGTATTTAGGACCCTAAAATGAGGAAACCGTGCTGAAACTGCTAATATCTAAAACTATAAAAAAAACTGTTAATACTATGCTAGTCATGGTGCAATTAATATTTATCAAATTCCTTATTCCTATTCAAGTTATGATGTCAAATCGTATATTCAGATGATTTCATTCTTTTTAGACCTTTGCAAAAATGTCAACGAATCTCTTTGCCTGTATGTCTGTATTAATACGATTGTTGTTATTTTAATTATTGAATATAATGTTTGTCAAATAATTGTGGTATACTACGATCTGTTATCAGTGAATTGCATTACACAAATATACAACGAATATATAGGGCAATAGATTGTTTTTATTTCTAATGAGTTTGCTAAAGAGGCGTCTTCAGGGGGGAAAATGGGTCAGTCACCTCTCTCCAAGAGCTTTTTTTTCCAAATGTTTGTTATTTATTATTTATATCACATTAGAAAAATACTTAAATTTGAATTCATGTATGAAGTAGGAATGCTACTGGTTTGCAGATGATGCTCACTAGTACCTAATGATCACCATACAACTCATCAATTACCAATCCGCAATCATGCACCAAATACGTTTCGATTATTGGCGAAGGCCTTTTTCATGTGGATTGAAGACAAAAATTGTACTAGAAAATGTCTAGGCTGCTAGAACCATAACACGAACTATTTCTGTCGTACACTTACATTAATTTGAATAAGAATACATTTCTCATAATACCATTGATTATATATTACTAATATATACTAATATAACGTAATACTGTAATATATAATCAATGATATTACGTATGGATATACACAGATTATTTAATAAAAACCATCAACGTATTAGGAAAGGCTCCTATAATGCACTTTTTTGGATCCTTCTGTCAATCAGTCGGCCATTGTTAATCGTGGCCCTGAACCAACAAATTATTTATCTTGGAATATGCGCATCAATAAAATATTGTTTCAAAACATTTATACCGTTGACGACCGTATTTATAATTTTCTTAATTCTTCGCATTTATTTTTACGGCTGTTATACTATTACTCGCAGTTGACGTCTCAGCTCGTTTGCAAATTATACAGACCTATACTTGATAGTAAATAAAACGTAAATATTACAATATTCTATGCCTAATATATATTCCGTCATTGCCGCGCGTAGTTTAACGAACGAACGCGACTGCTGCAATAGGACTAGGCGGAAATCACACCACGTAATGAAGCTCGACCGGGGACGGCAGATTTCGCCTTGACTGTGGATCAGGACAGGATCGTATATTATTATTGTTGCGTCGGATGTTATTACGAATATATATGTGAACGTGTGTGTTTATAAACGGTGGTACATTTTTTGGCGACTGCATTTTGCGCGGATCAATCGAACGATGGACCTTGAAACGCGGTAAAAAAATAATATATTTAACATTGCCGCCGCACTGTTAACCTTGTGACGGGTATTAGAAATTTCACAAAACATCGCCGCCACCGTTTATCGTATACGCTGTAATCGTGCGGATACATTATAATGTACGCGTGCGCGTACACATTTATGCATATGTATGTTATTATATGTAAATTATATGTACTCATCGCCCGCAGGGGTCAGGTCTGAAGGCCTGGTCCCGGTTGGCGCGGTCCTTGGTTGCATATCGTCGATTCGCCGTCTGTTAATCGTACCGCTTGCTACCAGCACCTAACGGAAAGCGAGTAAAAAGTGAAACTCGAGTGACGTCTCCCGACGAGAAATTATTATAATACTGTGTTTGCACGCGATTACTTTTTCTGTTCTGTGACGGGCGCAGTGCAATGACACTTAAACGCTGGAGTCGCAATAAAACTATTTTATTAGAATGTTATATTTTACCTTGGGCGGATCTAGGAGTGGGGGCAATGAGAGCAATTGTCATCCCCTTAAATAAAAATTACATCAAAAATAAAATATAATTAAAAATAAATGTTGACAATCTTAGTACAATATTGTCATATAATTTTTTTTTCGGTAGAGAGAAGTCCCATCCAAAACACCCCTACATACGCCTATGATCAGCTATATTATATAATTTCTCCTATAAGGTGCTTATAAAGAAAATATACAAATATTGGTACTTATAAACCATTAAGTATAAACTATCGATAAAATATTATCATTAATCAGTTGTCATATTAATCATAATACTTGTACGTTTTTCTATCTTATCATTTTTTTTTTTGTATTAAATATTTAGTGCATTAATATGTTATATGTATAATATTATTATTGTATCGTTTCCAACGTTCTTGTTTGCCAAGAATGATGTTCCACACGAGATCAGCCAAAATATTGTCTACTTTCGTATACTGTGAAACAATAACTTATGACAACGCCGTCGATACCAGTATACCATAGTTACTACTATAATTTAACTATATATTATAGAAAATTGCGACGCCTATTACTTTTCATATGCAATGACGTGGAATTCAGATAGCACAGGTGATGATTTAATTCACCAAAGCCTATACCCGTTGGCCACCATCCAATTCTGATACCCAAATACACAATAGAAAAAAATAATTCAAACTTTTCAAAAATTACTCATCAACAGGTATAATAATATAAAATATACCTAAATTGCACCCCGAAATTAAGCTGGTTCAAAAGTAAACTGTAAAAATACGTAATCGGTGCCACCGCTTACCATTATCGTTCCACTCCAATATTCACTTCTTACTTTTATCGGTGTGAATATGGATATCGATTGTACTTTAGTTCAAGTTGTACATTCATCTATACATTTCTAATTTCATCAAATATTTTCCAATATTATGTCAAATAAGAATTTATTTTTTTTTAAATTCGTCTACACTTTCTTAAAACCAAAAATATTTACTCCATTACGGTTCCTAAATTCGTTATTAAAGGTATTTAAAACTAGGAATGTGTATGATTTGAGATTAAATATACTTACGTTAACTACGCTATTATTTGGACGCGTAACAAAGAATAACATAAAATCTGTGTATAGATTCTAATATGTTTATAAAAGGTAAAAATAGGTACGCGCACCATGTAAATACATTAGCTTATACTTGTCAAAAGCAAAGTTAAGTTGATAAATTATTCTTTCACAGCCCTAAAATCGGCTAGTTATCAAATTATAATACATAGTTGATTCGATGTACAGCGAAAAAACCGAGAAATAACGGTTCGAGGACCGTTGTGATACGGGGCTGTGTTGTATAAAGATTTAGTTTATAAACAGCGAAAATCAACTGCTGCTACTGCTATACTAAGGCGGTATATGTATAAATTCTGTAACTCATTCGTCGTGTTATCTTGAGTGTACAAGTCTTTTTCGTTTTTTTTTTTTTTACACGCACTTCGGCACCGTTTATAATACAATTTTCGTGGAAACAACAACAGCATTTTTAGAATTGCAGAACAATGGATGGCTGAGTGGTGCTTTTTCGCCACATCGGTGGTCACGATGTATACAATATAATATTACATATTATTATTATTATTCATATTATTGTTGTATGCCCACTACAAAGACCACGGTTTTAAATCAGTGGTTTTCAATCTGGGGTCGCGAATGATAGGTTTGGGGGTCACCAAAAATAATACACGAAATGATTTTTCCATATTATTTAGAAATAAAATAAGTTAATTATTTATTTGATTCTATATCTATACAATAACATGCCGAGGTGCGTAATCTTATCGGACGATAGCTGATATAGATTATTAAATTTTTTGTAACTAGTATCGATCATATACGTATAATTGAACGATTTCAGTCGCAAATATTTATAATAATCAGTTCCTACCTAGGTGTCATTTGAGCAGTACATTTATTTCACGCGATATAAGACAACATTTTTGAGTACACAACTATTAGTTATTACATTGTTTTAAAATGGGCAAATTTTTAATTAAACGACCTTCGACTTCTTGTGAAAGTGCAAGTGTAAATAAAAAACGTAAATTGTCGGAAATTACAATGGACCAATCTATTAATGAGGAATTGGAAGAAAAAAAAACTTACAATTTTGAGAACAATAAAAAAGAACGTAAATATCAAGATCAGTATATACAATTTGGATTTACTTTATTTATTGAAGAAAAAGGTAAGCATCATCCTAAGTGTATAATATGTTTAGAAATATTGGCTTCCGAAAGTATGAAACCCTCTAAACTTAAATGACATTTAGAAACAAAACATCCGCAGGCATAAATGCAGTTTAGCTCCCAAGCGATTTTTTGGAATTTTTTTTTTTTCAAAATGTGTTTTTGCATGCTTAATTTGATGGTACTTTCAAAAAAAGCCGGTCGAACTTATTTTGGAAGTTATGACCAAAAAACTTGTTCGCAAAACTCATCCGCAATTTAGTAATAAAGATGAACAATTTTTTAAAAGACATGAAAATTCATTAAATGTTCAAAAAATAGTTTTTCATACATTTTCTACAGTTTCATAAAAAGCTTTAGCTGCATCGTTTGAGGTTTCATACTTAATAGCAAAAACAAAAAAACCGCATTCGATTGGCGAATCTTTTGTCTTGCCAGCTGCTATAAAAATTGTAACGGCTATGCACGGTGAGGCATATGCAAATGATTAAAAATCAATTTCATTATCTGATAACACTGTAACACGTCGAATTTTGAACATATCCGATGATATATTAAAACAAATATTAAATAGATTGCAAAATAATTATTTTGCAATGCAACTGTACTAATCTACAGATATTTCTAACTTTTTTCAACTTCTTGTGTATGTCAAGTATATTAAAAAAAAAAAGAAATTTTTGAAGACTTTTTATTTTGTCATACATTAAACGGCAGAACCACTGGTAATGACATATTTATGCTTGTTAATAAATTTTTTGAAATTAATAAAATTTCGTGGTCAATGTGTAAAGCCATTTGTACAGATGGCGCAGCAGCACATACTGGATCAAAGAAAAGCTTTAGAGCTAAAGTTAACGAAATTTCACCAAATATACTATTTACTCATTGTATGATTCATAGGGAAGCTTTAGCAGCTAAAAAACTTGAACCCTTTGTCAATGAAGTACTACAAAATACAATTAGTGTAATTAATTTTATAAAATCAAAAGCACTAAATTTTAGATTATTTACGATACTCTGTAATGAAATGGATCTGATCATACAAAACTACTACTTCATATTGAAGTTAGGTGGTTATCCCGTGGTAAAATATTATTAAGAATTTTTGAGCTTAAAGATGAAATACGAATTTTCCTCCTTGAACATAAAAGTACACTTGCAGAACACTTCTTAAATGAAAATTGGTTAGCAATTTTAAGTTACCTCTCCGATATTTTTGATAAATTAAATAGTCTAAATTTAAGTCTTCAAGGTAAAATATTAGTATAATATTTATATCTAATATATATTAGTTCTCTCTGATAATATCGATGCTTTCCAAAAAAAAAAATACGTTTATGGATAAATTATGTTTATAATGTAAACTTTGAAATTTCCTCATGCTTTTCAGAATTTATGAGTGACAATGAAATATTTGATATTAAAAAAATTAAAGACATAATATTAGTTTATCTCAAAAATTTGGAAAACAATTTTAACGCACGGTTTGAAAAGTTTCCAGAAAAAAAGTTAGGATGGATAAGAAATACATTTTCTATCAATATTAATGAAATCGATTCTGAATTAAGTGTAGTTATAAAAGAGGAACTAATCGAGTTATTTTCCGTTTAAAATTTGCGTTTAAAATTTAATGAAATGACAAGTGATAAATTTTGGATTTATATGAAATCAGAATACCCAGAATTATCAAAAATAGCTTTATCAACACTTCTACCATTTGCATCGACTTACTTATGTGAAACGGCATTTTTAGCTCTTACAATAATAAAAAATAAATATCGTACAAAATTAAATGTAGAATCAGATTTAAGAGTAGCAATATCTAATACTAAACCTAATATGAAGTCAATAATAGCAGAAGTTCAAGTATCCCATTAAGATGTGAATCACAAGTTAAATTGTACATTTTTTCAATTTTATTTATGTATTTTTTTTTTATATTTTAATTTATTCTACATGTTTAACAATACGTTTTAAAATAATAAAAATTAATAATAAAAATAATTAAATATTATTTAAAAATAATAATAATAATATAAATTATAAATGATTACATTTTTAAGAGTAAATTTATCAAAAATTGTATACCATGTAGATATTTTTATCAGTAATTAAATCAAATTTTAATGAATAAAACAAAATTTTTTTTGAAAGGGGTCGCATAACAAAAAAATAAAAAATAAGGGGGGGGGGGGGTCGCGATCCTAAAAAGGTTGAAAGCCACTGTTTTAAATTAATAATTATTGCATAGCGTGGCGATAGTGCTTTTGAAGTGTCACTGCGCATCTCCAGTGATACCTATGTTTATATTGTGTACTAAATATTTGACAAACGACAATCGCATAAAATATTACATTATAAGTATATTATTAAATTTTATAAGAATCCTAGCAACTTTTAAAATTATAGTCAAAATGCATTGGCTATTGATATCGAACGGTATCCTCGTGTATTTAGTAGTGTTGGGAAAAATCCGGATTTCGAATTTTGAAACATTGAATTAATATTTTTTATGGATTCCTTATATAAATACACATTTCTTTTTGTAATGAATTAATATATTTATAGGAAAACTTTTAAAGCAAAAATATAACAACAACAATAATCAATATCGCAATAACATGTAGATGTTACGACCTAAACTCTATTTGTACATTAAAGTATATTAAGTATATTTATACTAATAAAATAAACTTATTAAATAAAATGTATACTAATAATATATATATAGTTATAAGATAGTTATAAGATAAGATATATATATATTAAAGTTAAAGTGGAGCATACTATCAGTCTACAAGCTTAATTTACTACCAAGTGGGTTTTCCTTTTAACCGATAATAGATGGATACTTAATATACTTATAGGAAAATATACATTTAATATTTTCAATATATAATTATAAACCAACTGTACATATCAGATCATATTATCATATTATTTTCATTTTTTTATTTTCCATAATACAACAGTCGAACCAAATTTACAAATGTATAGTGTATACTGGGTAGTGAATATTTACTATTTAGTGTTATTAATTTCAGTTGTACTTATCCTATAGAATAATTCATGCTAGAGCTGTATCATATAAAAACATTTTATTTTTTTTATAACTAAAACTTAATATTATTTTAAATACAAAGTAAAGTGCAAAAATATGTATCGGTTTTACGATTTTAAAGTTCAAACAATTTTTTTATTTAAAATAGAAAATGTTAATTTATTTACATTAGAATTTATAACGAAAAATTTAAGTTTCTGATTTAGAATATAGAAATCCACAATGTGAAACCCAAATATTCGGATTTTATAACTTAAAATCCGAAATCCGGATTTTTCGGATTTTCAGAGAATCCGGATTTCATTCCCACTAGTATTTAGTAATCAATTATGATTTCCATTTGATAGCTATTTGTTCATTATATTCAACAATTTAAACTCTAAATCAAATCAGTTATGTTTTATACATATTTTTTTCTTTTTTTTTAATCTTATATTATGCTTTATCTAATTTTTACTCACTAAATATTTAATATTATTAATTATTATGCCAACACAAATTATGTACTCTTTTTCTTATTTCGTACATGCATGTCGTACAACATGTTGTACAACTATTTTTCTAATTTTACTCTTGCTTTCCGGGACCGTATAATAAAAATTAATTATAATACACTCTGCTCCGGTGGCGCACTTGTCGCACTCTCTCGTGCTATACATTCGTCCTGCAATTGATATCTCCCACGTGCGCTGACCGTCACGGGTCAAGTCTCCGATGTCGTTTGTTCTTGTTGCATTGTTAATAATATCGTATTTTATAGCGTCCGTTTTCCGCGACTGGCAAATAATACACGACTTCAAACCCATTGTCGTCGTACCTTCAACATAATATAGTATACGCTACAATATTATTATTTCGAACTTGCCCAAAGTCGTCACAGATCACGACGTACACACGTGTGGTACGTAAAACGTTCGTCTCACGTATCCCGCAAAGAAACTCATTTCCAATAATAACATTAATTATGCCGTTTTGTCGACCATTCTCTATTTATTTACTTTTTCATAATACGTCTTTGTTCTATGATAATGATACGAATGTATTTCTTTTTTCTTTTCTTTGATTACGCTAGTTTTTTTCTTATTAAACTCGTGTTCGTGAGACTTAACGATAACGTCCGTGCAGCGTTATTTATCGGTTACAATCCATCGACGCCCGCCATTGTGGTTTGTATGTTTATGACTTGTTTCTCATGCACACATATGTATAATATATAAACATGATAAACGATTTGATTATTATTTTATTTTCGTATTATTGAAACTGTGTATATATATATATATATATATATATATATATACGAGTAGAGCTATTCCGTGCTTAACACGCATTATAAGAACACATGATGGCGGTAGAGGGATGCTACACAATGGTGTTCGAGTGTTTCTACGTTCTTGCTCGTATTATGTTATTTTGAAGTACCAATATCTTCCATCAGCGTGGTAATACATAACTAGAAATATTAAAATAATCAAAACATTTTACACTTCTCGAACGTATTTCTGGTACATATATATTTTATGCCATTTTCTCTCACTCAAACATGTTACAATATATATTTAATTTTGGAAAAAATAATCGATGTTGTGGTGTAGTTTGAAATCGTAACATATGAGGTGCTCATGTATTAAATTTTGTACCAGGCTCGTCAAGATTTATTGTTTTTTTTTTCTCGTGTAGAAAGTAAAAATAATCTATTTAAATAATTGAACAATACAAACGCAATGTATATTTTGTATGGTTGCGAACACGATTTAGGCCAAGTCGGAGAACGCAGGATAATGTACAATGTGTGGTTACGAAAATGTCACTTTAGTTGGTGTAAGTAATTTTAAAAGTTATAACTCATAGACGGCCGTGTACCTACTTCAAACCATGCGCGATTTCAACGTGTGAAACTGTTATATCATACAGTATCTGTGTATTAGGTGCATGTCATGGAAGGAGAATAGGAGATATTATTAATGGTCGAATTTCAGAACAAATTCAATGTATTTTCAAATATCTATACTATATAAGCTCTATTGATAATTTTTATGAAAATATATTAAAGTAGTTTTTTTACTTCTTATTAATTTTTCAATGGATTTATATCGGCTATACGCCCGTTCTTAATAAGTAAATTTTTGGTGCACCAGGTCAGACGGTTGAAGTATCAGATTTTTTTGATTTTATTTAACGACTTGGGTGTGTATCTATTACGCGTATACAGTTTTGGCCATTAATCGGAATCGAAGTCTTTCAGTGATTAACAATTTGCTCTATATAAAAATGATTAGATTAACTGTGTGATATTAATTAGATACACCCGGCTCGGATTTAAAATAATTTAATTTTAATAGATTTCGGTAAAGTTTAGAGCATCAATTAAAAAAAAAAAAATGAATAATATAAATCTTAGAATTTCTAAGATTTATTTATTTATTATTTATTTCACAGTTTTGTACGGAACATATTCAAATTTTGGATAGCAAAATATCACACCAACTAATAGGTACTTTTATTTATAGGTTCTTGTAAAAATCATGAAAATATCTTAAACAACCCAGCACCACATTTTAAAAATATTTTTAAAAGCTGTTGCAATATTGCAGTACTTAGGTGTTATCAAAATATATAGATAATTTAAAATCATAGCAACACACACATTATTAGTACAATGAATCGAAAACAATTTTATCAGCGTGGGTATTTTCTAACAAAAAAAAAACATCGAAAACACATTGCTGCACAATATTTAGTAATTTTTTTTTCGAAATATCAAACTGTTATCTAGTACCATAAAAATATCTTATATTTATTTTTATTTTATTTAATACCTGAATGCCTTGCTATCACGCACGTACGCGGGTTATTTTTTTGCATTTTTAGAGTTGTATGATGTGTATCACATTGCCATTTTGATCTAACGTCGGGTGTAG